CTTTCAGAAGTGTGGCTTAAAATTTTCCATTTTACAGCCACAGTTTTAACGCCAACATATGCTTAAATGTATGTTGCACATTTAATTAAATATCTTTAATATTCTGTGTATTCTACAGGATCACCCACGGTGACGAGTTATTTCAGACTACTTCGATTTTAATTTTGAAAATTTGGGCAATACCGATTTCGGGCATGCCCTTCTCAACTAACGCTTCCGGTTATACCGGTCATACCGGAAGTTGACGTCATCTTCGTTATTTTAAATGGAACACCCTGTACATTACTGCAATTTTGGATTCTACGTCAATTTTTAGGTGAACTTTCATAAAGTTTTCATATTCTTAAAGTTAACCGTTTTTGATATATTTAATTTTTCTCAAAAAAATTTTAAAAAGCACTGCCTAATTCAAAACGATGTGTATTTTACAATAATAAAGTTAGAGCGATAAAATTTATAGGGGACATAACTAAAACTCTAAGCTTCCCTGCCATAATATCAAAATGACTTAATTTCATACAGGGTGACAGAAATTTAATGCCGAATTTAGTAAACTTTAAACCATCTTAACTTACTTTTTCTAAATGGAACACTCTATATCTTTTTACGCAACCTGATGAGCAATTTTGTTCTGTTTCGAATATTATAATGGTTCCCTATACCTATCTCTTCTGGTTTTAAGGTATTTACTGTTTTTCGTGCAGTCAACGGATATTTGTTGCGAGGATGGCTGTGAAAATTTTAGTGGAACTTCAAAACAAGCATCCAATCTGTCACCAGTTTATTGTTGTCAATTTAACACATACAGTGAATGTTTATTTGAGTATTATTTATTGCTAAAGAACGAAAAACGTTAACATTTATTCAAATGCTGACATTCTTTTATTATTTATTCATGGAGAGTGTCACAAGGTAATAAATACAACTTGCAGGGTAGGTATCTAATTAGAGATGTACTCATTGACTATCAATCAGTAGGGATAAATTAAAAATAATTTTAATAAGATAACAGAAATAAACTACGTAATACGAATAATAATTATTTTCAGAAATCTAATTAATTTGCTCGAAGTGACCGCCGTCTACTTGTAAACAGTTATGTATCCTTCTTGTTACCCCTTCTGTAACAACTTCGGATATTTGGTAAAGTTTCAAAGCCTTCTCTTATAAGTGCAACTAGGTTTTCTTTGAAATAAACTAGTGTTTAGTATACTTTCTCTTTTATTGCACCCCAGATATAAAAATCTGGTGGTGACAGATCTGGAGATCTTGGTGGCCAATCCCAGGATCCTAGATGTCTAATCTACCTGTCTTCAAACATTGTATATAATTGGCGGGATACTTCGTTTCTACACTGAGGTGGAGCACCATCTAGCTGATACCAGCAGCTTCTTAGTTGATCTAGGGGTAGATCCTCTAAGAAATCTGTTACACCGGTTCTCAAAATATGGAGGTATCTTTATGTATTTAAATTGCACTCGTAAATAAAATACCTCACCTGATTGTCTTTAGCTAAGCAAAATACATCGACAGCTAAACTCGTGTTGAAAATTTCCTTCGCGGATGATGTGTGTCTATTAAAAATACCTTCGTTACTTAATTTTAACTCATCTGTCCAAATGATTTTGCGTAAGAACTCTGGAACACATGTTCGCGTTAAAATCATTTCACAGAATTGGGTTCGTCTTTCAATATTTCCGGGATGAAGTGCAGGTACAACATTGATGATGATTTTTGAAATGCCTAAATCCTGTTCAGCAGCACGAAACTGATGATTCAGGGTAAGCATGAAAATATGCCAAAACAATGACGATGTTACATTCATCTAAAGTTATCGGCTTTGGCAAAATTCTATGTGTAGAAATTCAGCAATGTTCTAATTGATTTCTTAAAATTCTGCGTAAAATGTGTCTACTCATTGATGATAAATGAGGAAACCTCTCAATAAATACCCTGCAAGTCCTATTTATTATCTCCATGAATAAATAACAAATTTACAATGTCCTGAATAAATATTAATATTTTCCATTCTTTAACTATAAGTAATACACATATAAGGACAGTCAAGGTTACACTTAAATTTTTCAAGGTGTCAGAAAAATTATAGTCGCAACAAAACCTGTTTTTTTTCTCGTTCTACTTCGTTAATCGAACTGAGTACATCTGTAAGTTTGTATATTCTTATATAGCGTTGGTAGATGTAAGCCATAAAATAAACTTTCTGCTTTGTGTTTCTTTCGCACGACGTTTTATGGTATGATCCTTTGCCTCGGTTCTGCGGCAACAAAAAGGGGTCATAACACAATGTGATATTTGACCCGATGAAGAAAAAAACTATCTCGGGTTGGCTACACCGATAGTGGTGTAGATAAGTGCCTATATATTTCCTTGAGCATTCTGCCTCGTCAACAATTCAGAGAAAAGATTAATTTTCTTTAATATTTGGTAGCTCGTGTCGCAACTTTGCCGGCTATTTTTCTATTATCAATATTAAATCGAGCGGATATTCGCGTGACCGGAATCGCTATATATCCTCTTTCTTATACATTTGTGTGTTATTAAGGTACTTTAGTAGTAATATTTAATACTTTCAAAACAAATAATTCAGAAGTGGAGTATATTTGTCAAAACGGGAAACATGAATATGGTGGATTTTTTTTTGTCAAACACAATGACACAACATTTAGGAGTTTCATACATTTAGTTCATTCTCGACTATTTTTTTCCTAAGAAAAAATTGTTAGAGTAAAATTGTTAACCACTGGGATGCACAGTGAACTGTAACAATTTTGTTCGAAGAAATTATTTTCATTTAATTTCATTAAAAATTATGGAGATCTGTAAATTAAAACAAGAGAAATAATAGACCAGGGCGGATCTGTTTTGAGGTGCATGTGAGAGGGAGCAAGCAATTTTTTTCTGGATTACCTTTAGTGCAACTAGAGTTTTTTTACTTATATCTTGGAAACTATGCATTTTGAAAGAATATCGAAGAGGAAAAAAGTTTTAGAATTGAATTTTGCAAAATATACTGTAGGTTAAAAATGTTATTTATTGCCGATGTTGCAAATAGCAATAATTAATGAAAAAAGGGCAAAATAATAAGTTTTTTGGATAATTTTTTAAAAATATTTTAATTGCTCAGAGGACATTCTAATTTTGGTAAAAAAAACTTTAGAGTATAATAAAACAACATACCAAATTTCATTAAAATCGGTCCGATAGTTCTCGAAAAATAATTATATGAAAAAAAATTTGAAAAAGAATTTTCGAATTTTCAAAATGTTGCACGGCCTCAAATAAAGCGTATAAAGTTTATACGCTTTAAATTTAATTTTTAAATTTTCAAGTGTTTATACTATAAATACTTGAAAATTTTTTCACATAGAAAAGATAGCTTAATCTTTCAAATGGTTTTTGAAAAATTGAAATCGGTTGATTAGGACGGCCACAGTAAATTTATAAAGTTAACACTCTTTTTTTTAATTTTTAAACAATTAGATTACATTTATTAACTTGCAATTTAGTTTTTTTTCAAAAATTATAATTTTAAATTACTATTTTTTCTTTATTTTATATGTATTTAACANATAATTTCCAAATAAATTTAAAATTATTTAAATAATTGTAATAATTATAACTAAATACATTCATATTCAGAGTGTTGAAATATATACGTAAACAAACATTGCAATAGCATAGGGTAAAATATACAGTATATTTAATGCATAAATAATAAACTTTGTTTATAACAAAATATGTGCAAATTAGACAGTTGGCATTACGATATTCGAATTCCTTGGCTCGCCAGACATCGGATAAAAAAAGATCGAAATTAGTCCATTAGAAACCGAGATAATGCAATTTTTTTCGTACCTTCGCATTTTGAACCTCCGAGTTCAGTCTTGGAGCGAAAGCCCCCTCCCCCACTTTTTGTGTTTTGAGTCACTTTCCGCGCGTGCGAGCGGCAGCTTTTCCACTGATTTATCTATGTTGCCGATAATTTATGGATATTAAAGCTTTTTCCAGCTTAGAACTTGGAAAAACGAAGTCACTGGATCAAAGATTATTTAACTTTTTTTTTTAAAAAAAAAGAAGCGTCTTTCCGAGTACTTTAAAATTATAATTTTTGAAAAAAACTAAATTGCAAATTGATAAATGTAATCTAATTGTTTAAAAATAAAAAAAGAGTGTTAACTTTAAAAATTTACTGTGGACGTCCTAATCAACCGATTTCAATTTTTCAAAAACCATTTGAAAGGTTGAGCGGTCTTTTCTATACGAAAAAATTTTCAAGTATCCAGATGCTGTAGTTGAGGTTGTGCAACATTTTGAAAATTTGTTTAAAAAAATTATTTTGCGAAAACTATCAAATCGATTTTAATGAAACTTGATGTGTCTAAAGTTTTTTTTTTAAATAGAATACCCTCGGAGCAATTAAATATTTAAAAAAAAAATATCCAAAAAACTTGATTATTTTGCATTGTTTTCATCAATTATTGCTATTTTGCAACATCGCCATCGGTACTAAATTTGAACATTTTTAACTTACAATATATTGTGCAAGATTCAATTTTAAAACTTATTTTCCTATTCAATATTCTTCCAAAATGCATAGGTTCCAAGATGTAAGTAAAACACTCAGACAAAATAGATATTTTTTAAAATTTTTTAAACGTTTTTGCAATTTTGAAAATGTTCTGGACCTCGCTCAGATCTAGGAATCTACACTTTTATTATGTGAAATGTACTGAAGGTATTCCAGCAAAAATTAGCCTGCCCCCTCTTACATCCAAGAAGGATATTTCGACAGATCCGCCCTGGTCTATAAAAATTTTCCATAAAAAATCTTCAAGAAAAGCATTGCACTAACATTTTATAGAAATGTTCCCGATTCCTGATGTAACTTTAGAATTAAAGGAATAATATTGGTTATGTTTCGAGTATTTCTTAAGAATACCAGAAAAAAAAATAGTCTAAGTTGTGCTAAAGGTACATACCGTGGACGTCTGTGGTTATTGAGTAAATTACTGGTTCATCCAAAGCTTCGCTTTCCACCCGACACATAAATGTAGCCAGTATATCTCCTCTTGATAGAGACAATTTTAGCACTGATTTTCCCGTCAGACTTTCATCTTTACCGGTTACTGTGTATTTGGCTGAAACAAGACAAAAAGAGGTTTATTATAACATTCTTTACAAATATATGTTCTCCAGATACCATGGGGTTGAGATTTTAAAGCATGACGATGGTTAACTTAACAAGTAAGAAGAAAAATGAGCTTATACAGTAGCATTCATCAAATTTGGAAAAACAACACACTTAAGTATAGCAGCACAAACAATATCCAAGTGCAGTCAACAAAAGAATTTGTGTTAAAGATGCAATGTTACAGGTTATTACAACTTCTTGTATCTTTACATATCACATATACCTAACATTTTACGGATAATAAGTGCCAATAAATAAGAAATTCTAACACCATATTGATATATCCCGTGATTATTCGTTTGCCATGAAAACATAAACTGTACATATTCTATTACAACTACTCTAGAGGCATATTATTCGGTGAAGTCTCTTAACATAGTCCAAATAATTATATTAAATTTTCATAGGAGGAACAAAACACTAGAGTAGCATTATTAGCATTTGAAATTATTTATTTTGCAGTAGGTATACGTTAAAAGTAAATTAATTTTACAGCAAATTATACATTATTTTAGGCCGACACATTTAGGATAATAGCCCTAAGGGAAGCCATGATATTCCAACGGGAACACTGAACAGAACAATATGTTAATGTGTTCCATATTAGATTTTGTGTTTATACATGATATTTACATTGTTTTGTACATCAATTAGCACTAATAATGTGTATTCCTAACTGACAATCATTCTGTTCTGTATTATCCTTAATTTTCACATTATTATTTTGAGCGAGTTTATATTTTAGTTTCGTTTAAGTATCCTGGTTGGTTGTTGGTTTATAATATTCGTTTAGAAACATATGAATTTAATTTAATTAATATACGACAGATTTAAATATGCAGATATTAATCATTTATTTCTTTTATACGGAATACACTTTATACAGAGAGTTCTACAAGCTCTACGACAAGCTTTGACAAATGGTAGCTGAGTTAATTTCAATCAAAAATTAGTTAACCTTTTAACCAAATTAACAAATCTTAAGCCTTAAAAATTGTTCAATATGTGTACGTTTGGCTCGAAGGCAAGCGAACATTAGCGAACTAAAGATTCCGTCAGTCGACTAATGATATTTGGATCTTTTCTTGTCTGGTTAGCTGCATCCTGTATTATTTCAAGTAACTGCTGACGGATAGTGATTTCGACTTGGTAGATAAGCTGCTCATATGTACCCATAAATAAAAGTCCAGAGGATTTATATCTGTGGAACGCGGTGGCCATACTATTGGACCTTATTGACTTATCCATTTATTTGAGAAAATGGTCATTTAATCAAGTAGTTACTTATATCCCTCTATGTGGTGGTGCACCATCGTGTTGATTATGTATGTTTTTTTAATCAAAAAAATTTCGAATTTTCACCACCCAGAACGGCGGCGACAACATTTTTAACATTAATGCGATGTTTCGCATCGTATTAACAATGTCCTGTCCAAATTTCGTTTGTGCAACTCTCTCGGTTTCGAAAATACAATATCTACGTACGTACTATTAAAATATAAACATATACAGTGTAAACATATTTTCTCTGGAATGCTATGTTCGATGATATTTTTAATTCTTTGGATGTTATCGAAGACAACAAAGTTATAGTCGAATTTTTCATTTCATTTTCACAGGATAGCCTCATTCAACGTTTTGTTGATACTTGAATTATTCTTAATTTTAATTAATTATTTTAATTCGTAAGTATTTTTAGCTCATCTTTTGAATATCGACGACACTTCTATTGTATCACATTTTCCTTAATTGCAATTAGAGCAACTAATTGGATCGTCAAAAGAATATCTGGAGAAAGAAAAATTGAAATTATACTTCTTTATCTGTTCTTGGGAAACTTTTCTGCACCTTTGAATTTATTAAAGTAGGTATCTTATTATATTCCCCCTACTCATTAAGTTCAAAACGAGTAAGAGCCCTACGGTACAGTCTTTAATGTTATTTTTTAGAAAGTTGATTTCCTAAAATAAATTACAAATAAAGTTTGCATCAGTGATTCATCCAGGAAGTGACGAAGCGTAACGCTAAACTAGAACATGTAAATATCAGAAAATATACCTAACTTGCTTAGATTTTCTAAAGTGCTGGACAAAAAATTGCGCATATAAACGCCACCCTTATGTACAAAATTTCTTCTATGCGACGATTGATTGTTGCTATTAAAATTACATACTTATTCAACGATCCGTTTATTATAATCAAACCATACCCAAAAACCGATAAGGCTTACGTATTTGAAAACAACGCGAACGCAAACCATAACCTGAAAGTGTAGAATTTAACGATTTCTCGTAAAATTTTTAATTATCCAATAAACCCGAAATAAAAATACAATTTAAATGCAAATGAGCTATATCCCTGGATATACAAAAATACATGATTTGTGGATATTACGAAATTTTATAGTCTTACAGTCGTTATGAGAGAAGTTAGACTAGAAAATATAAAGGTGTCGGCTACTTGGTTAAATAAGGTCTTAATTGAATAACGTAAATGGAGCAGAGATGTTGTCCTTTTCTCAAACCTAGCATAGGTTTGATTTTCACTCTGATCCAGTAAAATTTGTTTAATATTGCTTCAGTGTTATCAACTTTAAATGATCTAGTATTGCCAATTAGAAGGGAACTAATAATTAAAAAGATTAGAAGATTGGGACGTTCGATATGAACATTCCTGTTTGAAACTCACTGTTTAAAAAATAAAAATATATTTCCTACTTAACATTTTTACAAGCTTTTGTTTAACTTGCCTTGTTAGTATGGATCAAACTGGATTTTAAAACAGTTGTCTCCAACGGATTGAGCTGAAATTTCTTATACACGTTTAGTTGGATGACAATGCATGGTTAGCTAAGTGACGTCATTCTAAATCCAATATGGCGGACCAATTATTTTTTATGCACCTCCACGATATGGGTATCAAATGAAAGGGTTTGCTGAGAAGAACACGAAAATGATGCCACTAAAAGCTTGTTTTGTTTTTTTATACATGAACTTATTTCAGAAATAAATTCAACTGATTTAGTATTTCGTTATAAAGTAAATCATAAGAAAAGAGTCAACTTGGACTGTTGTCCGTCAAATTGTCGAGAAATGTTATTACAAATTCACATTTTATAGAATGTGTCACAAAAGTGAAGAAAATTATAAATATTTTTTCACATTTCATAGGCTGTAACAGGTGCATTAACATAGTGTTTGATCTCTAACAGTAAGGAAGATACAGTCAAAACAATAGGTTACGTCTTGGTTATTAGTAGAGATGAACTCATCAGACCTCTTGTCAATAAATTTGGTTCATTTGCCTAGACTTTCCATGTAGAAAAATTAGCAACCTATTTTCCATGTAATTAGGGGAGAAATAAATTGTTTTAATTTAACAGATTAATACTGTCTGATTCGTACCTGTATATTACGTAAGTTCATATTTCCCTAAAATCGCATAAGTTTATCCTCATATTCCTTTCTGAGTGTGCATTAGCGTCATGTCACATTTTCTGTTAAAGTAGAGTGACACTTAACACTCCAGTTTCACAGCTAAATATGCCAGATAGAATTTCAAATAAAAAGTGAGTAAGTATATCTTTTTCCTTTGAATATTAAATATATCTTGGTACTCGATCATGTCTCTATAAAGAAAAATTATTTTATTTCTAAATATGTAAGAAAATGTCATTCTTTATAAAAAAATATTGCTTGCCTACAAACTCTAAAAAGGGTTACTACTGTTTGCTACAATTACTTAAAATTAATTGAAAACAGAGATGTTTTGTATAAAGAATGAGATTTCCTCATAAATTTACAAATAAAAATGTTTTCCATCTTCGGGACACAATTATGTAGGTAGATTTGTGTTTTCCTTTTTAAAAAAGATCATATAATCGTATTGTTCACATTTGGTACTCAATCATATTAATATGAAAGAAAGTTTTATACACATGTGCATACTTAAAGTTATATGCCATCAAACCACAATACCAGTATAATTTTATTTATCTTACAAATATTACGATAATAAAATGAAGTGAACGATAAAATTCAGAGCGAATCCATCGAGTTATATTTGATTTTACATGGCTATAAATGCTATTTTCTTAGGAGAATATCTACTTTGCAAACACATAAGGTACAAAAGTAATTATAAACAAAATATTTTTGTAAACGAAGAATACTGACTATTATTATTTTAGGTGGCAACTTTGCCATATCTGGGGCTCGTCGATATGATGAATTACTTCAAACAGAAATTGGAGATATTGAAGATAATATGTGACATAGATTGCTGATCGCTCTGACAACTACAAAAACAAAGAAAAAAGGTCCTTTATTGTAAGCGAATATTTAGACATATATCGGAAATATAATATCGCAAGACCTACACAAATAGATAAATATTTAAAACTACACAAATAGATAAACTACTTAAATGTTCTGATGAGTTATGCAAATTTACTTTGGACACCGTCAATTTCAAATATTTCGAAGACATTATTGTAGTTACAATTCCAGATTTAAAAAATGGTAGCTATGTCACATACGTTTACAATTACTTCTCGTCTGGGTTCTGTTTCTTTACTAGAAATTCTCAAGAAATATATCAAGATTAGATTGGAAATTAAAACTGAAATTTCACACTTTTTTATGCGCTATCAAGTAGGTAGGTGTTACAACCAACCAGTCGGCAAGAATACCCTTTCTATGATTCCTAATAAAATTGCACAGTTTTTGAAACTAGGACATCCTGAAACATATACAGGCCAATCATTCCGAAGAACATCGGCAACGTTACTGGCTAATACAGGAGTTGATGTATTAGCAATCAAGAGACATGGTGGGTGGAAATCAGCCACAGTTGCAGAAAGTTATGTTGCTGACAATTTAAGTAACAAAAATGAAATAGCCATCAGGATTCTTTACAATGACACTTCAACTCCAGATTTTTGTAGTA